TTGTCGTGCCGTGATCACGCCGTGATCGTGCCGTGTACGTGCACTTCGGCCAAAAAGTTACTACCCATTGAGTTTCCACCGAAAGCAAGAGCTGTGAACCATAAACACTCTACGGACAACTGATTAAAACAGTTTGGAACAGCTAAAGTTCGACACAGAAATGTCAGCATCTGAGCCTAATATGATTGTTTATTGTCACAGTAAATAAAATAAAAAAAATATATATATATAATAATAATTAGGGATGCAATGATATCCAAATTTCATGGTACAATATTATACAATATGCATCTCACAGTACAATATTTATTGCAATATTTTGGAAAAGGTAATAGAATTGTGGAATGGGTTCTTTTTGCTTTTAAAATACCTTGTCAAGACTTTGGTGTAAATCATTACTAGGGGTGTAACAGTAACCAAAATATCATGATATCGTATCGTCAAAAGTCTCTCAATAATATCATGGACCATCACAATATATCGAATTACAAGTTTCTTTGCTTAAATTCATTGTTATGGTGCAGCAATAGCTAAAAAAAACAGAGAGAACTACATAGACCATGATCCTTTTCTTTGTTTTGGTGCAAACTACAAGAAGAAATAACAGTTCTAAGCACTTTCAAATCTTAGCTCTTTGAATTAAGTCACAAAAAATATCGCAATAAATATCTGTACCGTGAGATTTGGATATTGTTACATCCCTAATCATTACTGTCATAATCCCAAGAATTCAAATAAAAACATATTTCTTCATGTCGTCTGCGGTGAAATGAATCATGGGATATGTAGTTCCCTGCGTTTATTCGCTGTTACTACAATAAAACCATGCATTTAAGCACAGGGACTTTGCCCAAGATATTATTGTGAGACCTTTGACGATACGATATCACGACATTTCGGTTATTGTTACATCCGTGCAAATAATTCAAATGAAATAGTTTGGATTTGCACGTCACACCTGGAAGCTTCAGGTTAAACCAGCCTTTAGACCTCAAGATCTGCATGAAATACTTTTACATTTCGCTCTTCATACATTTTTAAACAGGCAATTTTTTACTTTTATTTAAGTAGATGCTTTCATGTGTATCTGTGCTTTTATTTAAGAAAAAAAAAATCAAGTTCTTCTTCCACCACTGTTAGTGATTTTAGTATCAACATGAAGTTTGAAATTGTAGTATCGTGATAAGATTCATTTAAACTAACTAAACCTGTTGTCGGCTGTAACTGTGTGAATGCGTACCCAATTAAAATATAATCCTTCCCACCATGTCCCATGCAGGCTAATTACAACATATTGTCAAGTCCATTTATTTTTCATCATATTTTATCCTGAGTTTGCGTTGGTGCAGACTGGAGCCTAATTTGCTTCCTCTACAAAGAATTTTCCAACTGTCAGTCTAGAGTTTTATGTTCGCGTGAGATTTGCAACTTGAGTTTTTGTCACATTTTTCAGCTCAGTACTCACTAACAACGCGTCTCTGTACCTGCCGCCGTTTTTCGTGCTACTGCAGCGGTTGAGGTGCATTGTCCGACGGCACGACGACAGCCTTTGACATCAAGCCGCGCTGACGTACGTGAACATTCATGCCGCTTTTCTGCGTCATTCGAGGAAAAACTAAAACTAAAACACACCACTACTCACGCCAGTCCATCTTTCCCACCATCAGAGAATAATTTAGCTCACAGGTGTCAAACATAAGGCCCGGGGGCCAAATCCGGCCCTCCAAGACCTTTAATCTGGCCCTTGACTGATTTTCTACTAAAATATTTTAATTATATTTTCTATTAAAATATTGGTAATTTTCTGCGGTGCTGAGCATAGCAGCGTCTCCAGCGTCTCTGTACGTGGCCCCTCCCACCAGAGCAGCACAAATGAAGACTTGTCTCTTTCCAAACGCTCTTAAAGGACGATCGTTTTGACTGTTGACCGTGACACCCTCATCAGAAAAATGTCCAACATGAGAAAAGTGGAGCAGAGTGCAGGATTTTACAACAAAAATTTACTTATTCCTATTTACATACAAGTTCATGTTAAAACATTGTGTTGAAATTGAATTTTTCTTAAAGTTTCAGGTTGTTCATAATATCATAATATTTTGTAAAAGAAAGAGTTCATCAATTAAAAAAGATTTCTGTAATAGATTTGTGTTTCTCTGCACAAATATTTGAACTTATTGTTATTTTTGGGGTTTATATGACATGAGTTTTCTGATCCGGCCCCTTTAGGATCAGAGTAGGTTGGATACGGCCCCCGGACCAAAATGAGTTTGACACCCCTGGTTTAGCTCCAAAAAATGCTAAAAAATAAATTAAAAATGAATAAATAATGAAAATAAATAAAGATAAAATTAGAGAAGTTAGTATATGGAACAATCTGAGTTATGATTTAAAAAAAGTCTAACACTGTAGAAGCCTTTAAAAACAGTATAAAATGTCATGTTTTGAAAGAAATACAGCTCTGGATTATGCATTCAATTTATTAAATTTCTTTATTACATTTTGTTTGTTTTAATTTATATTTTGGCTCTTATACATACAGTAAGTCGTAAGGGAAATTGTAAGCGCAAACTTGCTGTTTTTGCTGCTTTTCTTTCTTGGAATTCTGTCATTGTTTGAAAGGTTTTGGCTTTATAAATACTTTTTTTCTTCAGCCTAAACACTTTCGGTCACGATCCATGGGGTTGTAGTTTATGTTTTGTTTTGTTTTGTAGTGCTGCAAAATAACCAATACTACTAAAACCTGACAATGTTTGAATCTGTTGAGGAAATTTGGTCTTTCGTGCAACTACGATGGGTGAAGTGTATTGCCCAAGGACACGACAACAGTGTCTGACCACGTTTGAATCTGTTGAGGAGAAGTTGGAGAAGAAGTTAAAAGTGCCTTACCGTCTTTAAAAATGGGAATTCTTCGATACGATGCTGGTATCAAATATCTGCATCGACACTGAAACAACTGCTGGATCGGATATCGGTAGAGATGCAACGATATCCAAATCTTTCTGTACAATATTTTCACAATATATGCATCTCACGGTACGATATTTATTGCGATATTTGTTTAGAATATGCTTCTTTTTTATCATAATCCAATTTATTAAGAGTTAAACGTGCTTAATAACAGTTGTTTTATCATGTAGATTGGACTAAAACAGAGCAAAGGATCATGGTCTATGTAGTTCTGTCTGTCGATATCCTGGTTGAGCCTTTAATTCGATGTAATAAAACTATTTAGAACGTTGCATAATGTATGACCTTTATTCACACAAAGCTGTTCAGTATTTATTTGAAGGATACGTAACTGTTGCATAATGACACAATTGGATCTCATGTAATAATTTCACTGTGTCGATGTGTGTGAAAGAGCTGCCGTTTTCCATCCCTGCACCGATATTGGTGAATATCGAGTATTGGTAGATATTTAAAGTGAAGTTTCGATATCGGTATCGGAACTGAAAAAGCTGAATTTGCGTATTCTTACTTAAAAAGGTGAAAAACAGACCTCTTTATTTTGAAACGGTTTGCAGTGGTCCAAAGTTAATCCTCACTTACTTTATCTTATGTAGTCAGAACATCTTATTTATTCGCCATGATGAGTTTTCTGAAATAGAAAACGCTCTGTTCCACCTTGTGATGTCAAGTCATGCTCAAAAATACTCTCCACACACTGTAAATTTCTCTGATCTGGCCTAGATTTTAAAACTTATATCAGGTTATTCGTCTTGTTTTCAGAATTATTATTTACTTACTACTTCTAAGGCTACGTTCAGACTGCAGCCTGAAGTGACCCAAATCCAATTTTTTCACCCCTATGTGACCTGTATCTGATCTTTTAATGACAGTCTAAGCAGCACAGAGCCGATTTTTCAAATAGGATCCAGACCACTTGGATTTCTGCTCCTAAAACCGATACAGAGCCGATCTTTTGACATGCGACTTCAGTCTGAACGGTCAGGTCACATTCATCCCACCTGCACGTCAGGCTCGGAGTCTCGTCAATGGAGGGAAGAGCGAGGTTAGCCAGTTGATTAATATTTGGGGGGATCGCTGTTTTCAGGTCAAATTGAAGGGGTCTTATCAGAACCGGGCGTTTTTCTTCAATGATTGCCAAAGAAATGTCCGAGCTCGGCCACAGACGGTCCTGGCTCCAATGTCAACAAAAAATAAAGAACAAACGAAGCGGCCCTGGACGTGTAACCTGTCCGTTTTACGAAGAACTGGACCGTATTTTGGGAGACAAGCCCAGCGTTTAGGCAACTTCCGTAAACACTGAGCACGCTCGCTGCATGTGACGTCGTCGTGTCCTCCAGCGCTCACGTGGGACACTTTTGGGGCATTTAAAGTTCACGCTGGAGATCACATATAAGTCACATTTAATCGGAAATGTGAACAACCTTGCAAAAAAATTGGATTTCAAAAAAAAAATCCAAATTGAGCATTAAGCCCTTCAGTCTGAATGTAGTCCAAGTGCTTTTTACAACTTTTAGAGACCAGAGCGAAGTTTTGCCATCACTGTAAAGCATGCTAATATGCACTTCCTGATTATCGCACGTTAAAACACACACATATTTACACGCAGACAGCACGCAGCAGACATATTTTAACCTCAAGAGCTGCTCATACACTATATCTGTGCTGGGGCAAGCCAAATTCTGCTCAAATACACGTGAAAAAATTGAGCACAGAGTCTTTAACCGGAGTTTTGGTTAAGATCTGACGTCTCCGCCAAGCCGAATCCCAAAACCTATTCATTCTTTTTAGTGTGCGTGTGGGAGCAATAAATTAGGTTAATAGATTTGGCTAACGTTCCATGATAAATATCTTTATGAAGCACGAAAAAGTTTATTAGCCAAATATTCAAAATTATGCAAATCGAGTTGACTCTCCCGGCGTCCCAAGACTCACCAGCCAAAACCGTAACTTCTACTCATCCATTATGCTGCCTAATTGCTGAATAATTGTAACATAATTTCCTAATATATATATTTTGTTTTGTTTTCCAGATTGCGTGACGTTCCGAGTTGTTTCAAGAGTGGACTAAAACTTTTTCGTTTGGGAATGCGTGTTGTCGGCCTATGAGGACTTCCTAGAGGGAAAAAGCGAAATTGGAATATTGGTAAGTCCTGCTTTAAACCGTCTGAAATTCTTTTGCGTTTTTATGTTTTTGTATTATTATAAATGGCTTACAGAGTAAAAAATTGTGGATTCTGTGGTGGACGCTTTGTTAAAATCCAGATACGAAAGGTGTATTGTGTAACTTTTTTGGAACTTGCGATTTTCTTTCTTTTTTTTCTTTTTTTTCTTTTTTTTTAAAATGAAGCCCTGTGTTCCCACATTTCTAAGTTTTTTGTTTGTTTTGTTTTTCCCCCGAAAATTTGGCCCTATGTTCCCACATTCCTAATTATTTTTTTTTGTTTGTTTGTTGTTTTTTTTTGAAAATGAAGCCCTATGTTTTTTTTTTTTTTAGAAAATTAGGCACTATATTCCCACATTTCTAAGTTTTTTTTTTGTTTTGTTTTGTTTTGTTTTTTGAAAATGAGGCCCTATGTTCCCACATTTCTAAGTTTTTACTAAATATGAGTGTAAAGTAAAATATACAAAAGATTAATATTTGCCTGTCATACATCATTTGTGCTGGATATTTTATTTGGCATTAATAAAAACATTTTAAGAAGCCTAAATTTACAGATGTGGTCTAATCTCGTGCACATTTTAGACAATTCCGCTTGGTTAAAATGCAGATGCGAAAGGTGAACTGTGCAACTTTTTTGGTAGAGAGTCTGTCAGATGCTTTTTCTCTGTCTTCACGGAGACCAAACCAAGTTACAGGTCAGGTCTGTGGAGAGGCAACCCCGCTCACAGTCAGAATTCTTGTTTTTCTAAGTATTTTTGAGCTATAAATCTACCTGTAATTGAATAAATGTAAAAGTAGAGCTGTTTAATGTCACACTGTGGGACAATCCAGGCTGAGCAATGAAACAAAGAAGGTGACGGACCCCCAAAACTGAAAAGTTCCAGAGTGCAACTTTAAGGTTATGATGACTATTGTGCTGTGGTTCAAACTTTGGTGCTTAGATCTTAGACTGAGGAAGTGGATGGTTCTGCTGCTGCAGAGTAGAGTTGGCAGAGTTATGGTTTCTGCTTCATGAAAAAGTTGCATTTTCCAACCAGATGTTATGATTTGAAAGTACACCAGACGTCACAAGATCGATAAAGAGTTAGTACACCTATTTGCTATGTCTGACTTTTGCTTGTGTCCTTGGCAATGTTGTTCTGCTCTGATTGTTCCACAGTATGGGCACATCTGTGGAAAGGCAAGCCTGCACACAGAAACAATGGTTTTCAAGATATTTTTTAACATTACCTGTTACTTGAATACCGTATTTTCCGCACTATTAGGCGCTCTGGATTATAAGACGCACAGTCGTAGAATGGTCTATTTTTTAACTTTTTTCAACGAAACTTTAAACGAAACACAACAGTTGGATGGGTCAGTGGGACTTTGTTTGTTTGTCGCGTTCACGGTGACTCTGGGCTTTGTTCAGTTGTGGCGTGTAGGGAGGGTGCTGTCTGGGACCGCTGGATTGTCGGCGTGTTCGCAGTGACTCAGTTGTTCAGTTGTGTCTAGAAGTGGCACGTTGCACTCGCTTTTTCGGTTCGTTCCCACATTCCGTTCCTCGTCGGCGTGGAGTGACGAGTGTGACTGTGGGTGTTTTACGCTGTGCGGTCGCTGTCTGCTCCGTGTGTGTTTGCGTGCTCTGCGGGTGGTGCGGATTTGTAGTTTACTGAAGTCGTGCTGGGACACCCGAGTGGATTCGTGTATAGGTCGCTCTGGATTGTGGGGCGCGCAGTTGCTTTTTGATGGGCTTAATAGCGCGCCCTATAGCCCGGAAAATACGGTACATGCAGTTCAGTGCTGTACTGTGGAACATTTCACAGTTATATTGACGCTACACTCTTTAAAGGACCCATATTACGCAGTTTTCTGATCTAACGCTACGTTCAGACTGCAGGGCTTAATGCTCAATTCAGATTTTTTTGCGAGGTCGTTCACATTTCCAATTAAATATGACTTGTATGTGATCTCCAGTGTGAACTTTAAATGCCCCAAACAATGTCACACACAGCGAGCCTGCTCAGTGTTTACACAAGTCGCCTAAACACGGACACGAGCATTGAGCACCTGGCCATTGTAAAGTTGCTGTTGTACCGGAGCCAGAACATGTACATCTTATTTGTTTTAAGGAGGAGACTGAGATGGAGAAGGATGAGGTTTTTGGCTTTCTTCCAGTTTCCGTGTACTTCAGAGCAGAATAGTGATGTTTGTCTCTTGCTGATGAAGTGTAGGTGGTTGTTCAGACTGAAGTCGCAGGTCAAAAGATCGGATATGTATCGGTTTTAGGAGCACATATCCAAATGGCCTGGGTCGCATTTCAAAAATTCAGATCTGTGTTGTTCAGACCGTCGCATGGGGGCCAAAATATTAGATTTGGATCACTTTAGGCTGCAGTCCGAACCTAGTCTATGTTGTAATGTTGTTTCCTCATCACAAACAAAACTGGAGTTGTGTTTTGTTCCTTTCACACATGTTTAGAGTGACCAGATTTTCAAAATACTAAACTGGGACACACCTGGGTTAGGATGGTATAAATAAAATTGTGAAAAGAAGATTGCAAGATTGTGCTTTCTCGTGTCACTTATAATCTTCGTCGTCGCTGTATTTTTATTTTTGCTTCATGGTCATTCGCAAACACAGTTTTCTGTATTTTGGCAAAACAAATTTATGCTCCTCTTTACAGTTGGCAGGGCTCAGATTAGTCAAAACTTGTGAGAGTCCTGTTTTAGTCCTGGTTTAGACCTGATCTAGTCCTAGTTTAATCTTAGTTCAGTCCTGTTTTAGTCCTGGTTAAGACCTGGTGTAGTCCTGGTTTAATTTTAGTTTAGTCCTGGTTAAGATCTGATGTAGTCCTAGTTTAATCTTAGTTCAGTCTTGGTTTAGTCATGGTTTAGACCTGATGTAGTAATGGTTTAATCTTAGTTTAGACCTGGTTTAGATCAAATTGGTCCAAAATAGGGACACCTCGGACATTTCTTGTAAAACTGTATAAAAAAATCATTGATTTTTTATTGGGCTGGGTATCATTAAGAAGTTGCCGGTACAATACATACCTCGATACAGTGCAGTTTCAATTCGATAAGATATATTTCAAATAGATTAAATACGGTTCAATAAAAATAAAGACTAAATCATGACTGTGATACTAAAAGTCTTTCTTAAACCACTTCTTGTGAAAAGTTAATATGAAAAAATCCCATTTTAATCATCAAAACTGTGTCACATAAACGCAAGCAGCAAAACTAGCGCTGTAAGAAAAAAATACTCGTGGTGATATTTGAATACAGCAGCCTACGATATCGATACTGTATCATCACATTAAACGAGACGATATATCGATATTTTGATATTTTTGCACACCCCTAGTTTTGTATAAATCTGCTGGGACAGGGGACACCGGACTCAAAACTGGGACTGTCTCGAGTAAATAGAGACGTCTGGTCACTCTACACATGTTTAACACACAAACCCGTCATATTTAGTTCTTCTCTCAGACAGAAAACACTCTGTTCCACCTTGTGATGTCATGCGGTAATACAGGAACTGCTCCACTGTGTTTTTTAAGCTCCTATACACCTTCACTAGTCGATAATTTCAGCCCTAGAATTGCCAATCTTTACTGAATTAAAGATAAAAAAAGCTAGTTGCTAACTTGAAAACTACCGCTTCATGACATCACAAGGTGGAGCAGAGCATTTGGAGCTTCAGAGATGTAGACAGTCTAATGAAATGTTACTCAAACATGTGCCAATGAAACAAAACAACTCAATTTTCACCTCGACCAAGATTCGAGAACGTAATTACGACTTTTTAACGACATATCCCGTAGCCTCGATTAGCCTCGATTAGCCTCGTTAGCATGTCACAACGCCGCAACATACTCCAGAAGGCAAAGCATGCTAACAAGTTCATTATGCAGCCTGAGGTAGCAGTAATCACCATTTAGCATCAGAAGCTATTTATCGGTCCGTAACTCTCGTCTAATGGAGCCAGCGGTGGATTCGGATAAATATTAGCGAGAGAATTAGTTAGCGCCGCGTTCGGACACTTAGCGGTTATGAGCTAGCTTAGCGGGATGCAATACACAAAGGATGTTTCTGGTTTGTAATAAATGCATGCTAGTGGTGTTTTGGGGCGGACTGCTGCGTGAGCTAAAATAATCCGTGTATCATTCGCTCATTCGTTTTTCAAAATAAAACCAAAAATAAGAAAACAAAAAAAAACATCTGTTTTCTTCAATATTTGTCTCCAAAACTAAAATGAAAAAATTGATAACGATTATTTTTTTCAGTTTTTGATTTTGTGTTTAAATGAAGAATGGAAAAAAAAAAGGATAACGGTCGTTTCTCGTTTACGTGACTTCCGTGACTGCGATGTCGGACTTTTGCACCACATATGGACTGAACCAGGACGGGACCAGACCGGGACCAGAGCGGGACCAGAGCGGGACCAGAGCGGGACCAGAGCGGGACCAGAGAGCGGGACCAGAGCGGGACCAGAGCGGACTCCGAGCTTTGACTCCAAGACTCTGCGGGGTCCGAGCCTCAGCTTCGAGCTCTGGCCCTGCCGTGGGCTCTGAACCTCTGGTCTGGTCCCAGTCTCAGTCCCGGTCTCAGTCTTGGTCTGGTCCCGCTCTGGTCCCGGTCTGGTCCGGGTCTGGTCCGGGTCTGGTCCGGGTCTGGTCACGGTCTCTGTCTCAGTTCTGGTCCCAGTCTCGGTCTGGTCCCGATCTGGTCTCGGTCTCAGTCCCGCTGTGGTCCCGGTCTGGTTTTGGTCTCAGTCTCGGTCTGGTCCGAGTCTGGTCCCGGTCCTGTCCCGGTCTGGTCTCGATCTCAGTCTCGGTCTGGTCCCGGTCTGGTCTTGGTCTCAGTCCTGCTCTGGCCCTGGTCTCAGTCCGGGTCTCAGTCCGGGTCTCAGTCCGGGTCTCAGTCTCGGTCTGGTCCCGGTCTCAGTCCTGGTCTGGTCTCGGTCTGGTCCCAGACCTGGATCAGTCCTGGTTC